TATTATGGTTACACTCGATCACGAACTTATTATTGTGGTATTACATGAGTTTACTAATATGATTTAGCTTAATAATTCATATCTAATGTCATATCAGCTATGGCAACAACCATGTTGGATCGATCTTTTTAAAAATTAACTTTGGTCATACATCAACGATTCAAGGTGTTATATTGTCTTCATTTTTTTTTGGCTATTTAACAATACAAATTTTAAGTGGTATACTTCCGATAAATATGGTAGAAAATGGGTATTAGGTATTTGCATACAATATTGCAATTTTTTAAAGGTTAATGTATCCCGGGTTCCAATTGCAAGGTCGCCGGTTCGAGTCATACTGGAGGGCAACAACTGTGCCAAGATTACGATTGAATTAAACACAAAATCTCCTCGGGGACGCCGTTTATAAATAAAGGATACATTCGGTGAAACTCCGGTTGTAAACAATTATAATAAATAGTCAATAGTCAATTACTGTAGCTCATGTAAATATATAAAAATATAGGGGATCTTGGTTAGAAGGCCTCATTAGATAATAAGTTGATAAATTAATTGTACGTCACACGACGTCCTGCAGTGATCATGCTGGCGGGTTAAAAAAAAATTAAAGTATGCAGGTTTTGCATCACAAGATATGATTGTTATTTTAATTTAATTAAATTTCACCTTAACGTGTGTAAATAAATTGCATAATAATTAACTGAATTGTATGTAAATGTTTTTTAGCTGCCGCATCATGGATACTATTTACCTTTCTTACACCAATTTCTGCAAAGATTGATTTAGGATATCCTTTATTATGTAAATACTTTTGGGTGTTGGTGAAGGTACATGTTTTCCATTCGTAAATTCCTTGATTGCAGCATGATTTCCGATAGAAGAGTGTAGTAAAGCAGTTTCAGCTATTGTGTGTAAGTATAACTACAATTTCATTAATAAAATTTTATTAACATGTACAAATTGTGTACATAGCCTCTGTTTATATAGGAATTGTGATCGCTCTGCCAATATTAACTTGGTCAGGATCTGGTCCTTTTGCTTAGCCTAGTATTTTTTGGGCGTTTAGAATAGTTGGATTCGTTTGGTTTATATTATGGCAAAATTATGTTAAAATTAGTCCAAATGAATCTTCAAAATTAGTCAAGATGAGGTAGGTATAATTTTAAAAGCAAACAAGAATAAACCTAGTGAAAATTCGAGTTATCATAGAATGATACTGCAACTTCTGATACACCATTAAATAATTTTGAAAATGAGAAAGATAATGAATTTGTTTCTGAGTTTATGTACTATTGCCAAAGAAATCGATATCAAATCCAAAAAAAGTTCCATGGAAACTCATTCTTTCTCGTCGAGAAGGCTATACTCATTACTCAATTTTGCAACTTATTTGGCAAATTTA